GGGTTCAGGGTTTCGGTTTCAGGGTTTAGGGTTCAGGGTTTAGGTTTCAGGGTTTAGGGTTCAGGGTTTACGGTTGAGGGTTTAGGGAGCTTCTCCAGCGAGTAGGTTTTGGACAACAGCTTAAAAAGGCTCAAAAGCCTGACCTCGCACCGAACACATTAATGTTTTAGGTGGACCCCATCTACTTTGGGAGAAGATAGTGGAATCCTCCAATCCGGGATTTCTGGTTTTCAAGCTGCGTCCACTCTACAGGAGTCCCTTACCGAAATTCAGCCGGTCGACATAAGTACTATTGAAGTGAACTTGAACAGATACTCGAATCCTGGTTTCTTGGGTTTTTGAGCTGGTTCCGGTACATATATGTCCCATCTTAAACTTACTTATCCTGGGTTCCTGGTTTTCGATCTGGTTCCATATAGAACCCTTCATTATTCGCTGAATGGAAGTCGACCAAGACATATTCGAAGCTAAGAAGCGCAGTCAAAAACAGAAAACGTAGGCAAATGCTGGAGTAAAAAGAGGTGCATATATGGATATCCCTCTATAAGCATAATGAGTTCTAAGGGAAACGGAGAGCTTCGGAAGTGTTCTGCTTGAGGCTGGGCCACCTTGAGCCGGGCAAGGATGACGACTGCGCCTTTGATGCCGCAGCCGGCCGCTTGAAGGTCGCTGGGCTTAGATTAACTTGCCAGATTGGAGAATGGAACAGAAGGTGGACATCAAATGGACACTGGTTCTGTAGTATGTAGGAGCGATATGGGAATTTGAGGAGTTGGAGGCCACCACCCAACATTAGTGGTATCATGCCAGTAGCAATAGACCCTAATGTGATTACGATTTGTTCTTGTGGTCACTATGCCTAGGTGCCGGGCCCCGCCTAAGGCTGAAATCCGTGCTGTATAATGGTAACCTAAGAGAACTTTCTTAACAGCAGCCCAGGCTGTTTGGGAGCATGCCGTGGTTGGCTTCGAAAAGACACCCGGCGACGGAGTCATGAAGGTGGAGCTCCCTGACAACAGTGCATGCATTTTATGCACCCAGCCTGGCAAGCAGGACGCTTGCAAAGCATCCGACATCCCAGCTTGCAAGGATGTCTTTAATCCAGATGAGCTGCAAAAGACCGGCTCTGGCTGGTTTGGCTGGGACTCCCTGAAATGCACCAGCTGCAAAGCGTCATTGCTGACCGTGGCTGGGGGTGCGCAGGTGCTTCTAGATGCTTCGGGTGAGGCAGGGTGTTCCCTTGATCTTAAAGCATCACCTGGTGGCTCAACAGGGTTTACAATGCCCCGACCCCCTGTCCCCCCCCCCCTGTGAGGGCGAAGCCGAAGGTGCAGTGCTGCTCGGTTCCGCGGCAGCCCTCAAAGGAGCGTTTCTCAAAAGACACCTGCGTAATGCGGAAAAGGGACCTCCAAATTACTCTGATATAATTCCTGGATATCCCTGGGGTGCTTTAGTACGAAGGAGCTGCGAAGGCATCTGGCAAATCGCTCGGGCAAGTGGTGCTTGACAACCCAGTCGCCATGGGTGCCTTGCGTTCGCTTGCCATCGTCATGGCCACTTCCCTGCATACGGTCCACGTTCTTCCGATGTCCACCCAGGAGGCACAGGAGTGTTTTTTGGATTGGGAGCTGGACAACATGGACATGATCCTGTTGAGCGGAGGTCAAGGAATACTTCCAGGTCTCAGCTCCCTGGTGGCTGAGTGGGAATGTTGCTCATCCGACCGCTATCGGAAGGACTGTGGACGGAATCGCCGACAACATTCTACTCCACGTCCAAGCACCACAACAGCTGCTCCACGTCCAATCACCACAACAGCTGTGCCGCAGACCGTCATGCATGTAAGTGAGGCAGTTGAAGCAGGGAAGGCCATGGCAAAAAACACCTTGAGGGAATTGGCCAGTTTCAGGAGTGCCAGAACGGATGATTGGGAGGCGATGGACCATGTTCACTGGGGAGAAATCCAGAGCAGAAGATTTGGGGCTTTTTGTGCCAGGGATGAATCCCCGAAAGTTGCAACGACCGATGCGCAGAGGCGAACCCAGCAGGAAAACCGACTGGAGTGGCAGGTTTGCTGGTGCTCGGCATATTGCCAGACGTGGTTGGTCTCTAGCAAACCTGACGGCTCCCTTGTGGCCTGCCATCAAACGCTGAGACAGTACACATTCTATGAAACAATGCGCTGTTCGGGTGCATGGTGGCAGGAGCTGCGCAAGCAGCAGGGGCAACCATACACCAGGGATTACGAGCCACCCATGTACAAAGCCTTTCCTTATGGTGGTTTCCAGATCCAAGCGCCTCCTGGGGTCAAGGTGCTTTTGAGCTTTGGAGGTCGGACGCAGAACTTCTACGACACACCTGGAGCGCAGAACGTTGGATTGGCCCGCGCCAGGCGCCTGAAGACTCTGCTCCAGCAGAAGTACGAGCCAGAAAACCCAAACTTCGTGTACATTGATGCGGATGCACTTGCCGAGATGCCTGGCAGGTATGTCATGAATGAAAGGACCCTCAATGTGTACTGGGAGCAGTACTACAAAGATGCCATGCGCAAGGCTCAACTGATCATCTTCCTTGTCGACAAGGCCTGGCTCTTGAGTCGCAATTGCTTTGAAGAGCTTGCCTGGGCTCAAGGGAAGCAGTTGTGCACCAAGCATAACGAGTATCCGATCAGTTTGAACATGTGCCCCTATAAAGGGAAGGAGTTTGAGAGCGCGCCATTTTCTCTCGCATTGGCGAAGCCTCGCATCATCGCCTATCTAGGGCAGGAGGCTTTAAACCGCAAGGGCCCTACGACCAGTTGCCCTGAGCAGCATTTGTTGGAAGGATTTGGTGATACAAAAGGCCAGTGCATGTCCACACTCGGTTTCGACTGGGTGATATGCGGCGAGTTGACCCAAAGCTTTGATCTCCAACTCCAAAGGCTCATGGACCGAATCGACGAGAGGAAAGATGAGTGGCTGTATTCAAGAAGACTGACTACGATCATTTAGATCGGTAATTAGGACTGCAGTGGTGCTCGGCCACGAGCCGAGGATTGTTACGAGTGCGGGTCCTCGGCTCTTGCTTGTATTTGAATTCGAATTTTCCCGTGGAGTCCCAGCTCTCCACATGTTGGCGCTCCGCTTTTCTCAAGCTTGAGCTTGTCAATCCCCTTAGGCGCCTTGCCAGACCACAAGACAGTCTGGCCTGTTAGGTGACCAAAGTTTCGCTAATGTACAACTTTGAAACCGCGGAACTCTGGATGCCTCCGTGCATCGTGTCTTCCATGCAAATGAACGCCTGTGCAGATTGTTTCCGCATCTCCAATCATGCTCGAGTGAGAAGTTGGTGTGTGGACACCAGAGCAGTCCCAAGGTTTTTGTGTTTAGGGTCTAGGGTTTCCCCCCAAATTAGGGGTACCATATTACGCCCCAAATAATGGAAAATCACATGAAAACTTGAGTGGAAAATGAAATGGAAAATTGGATTACATAGGGCTTTATATGGGTTTCCCAAAATTAGGGGTACTCTTTTGGGGTCCTTACAAGAAGGATTATATGGTATTATTGGATCTACGTTGGGGTCCCCTATTTAGGCAAACTAACAGTGCTGCCATTCCCGACGAAGCAGGGCGGCAGCATAGGTACATAAGGTTTAGGGTTTGTCAGTATTACTCAGGGCTACCAAGGGACCATTCAGGGTGGACATGCGTTCGCTTTGGTAGTTTAGTATAGTCCCCAATACATTACCGCATAGGAACCCATGTCTATTCGTTATCTGTGAAGTATGAACCCCTACAACCCCCTATAGAATCCCTGTGTCTATTTTGTTTTCGATTTCCTTGTCCGCGTAATTTTCCATTGACATTAGTCTCCATATTCTTTTCCATTCTTTATGTAGGAAATTATAAGCCCTATACCCTTGACCGTAGATCACGTGAGAGTTTCTCGAAATCAGCTTCCTGGAGCCCCTTGGAGGGAGGCCCCCAATATCCATGTAATCCACATGTCTCCTCAGCTAGTTCTGAGACACCTTAAGCCCTAAAATCCTAAACCCTATATATGATCTTGGTCCTGGGGTTCCTACCCCACACCATGGAATGGACCCCAACAGTCACAGGGATGGGGCCCCTCAGGGTCACTTTCCTCGTAACTGTTGTCATTTCGCCATCCCTGTAACTGTCGTCACTTATAGCCCCTCGCGCCTCGTCGCGTCTCAAAAGTGCCAACAGTCACGGGGATGGGGTGCCCGAGCGTGGCGATCCTGGTAGCTGTCATCGCTTTTGGACCTTCCTGTGGTTTCGGAGTCGGAAAAGTGCCAACAGTCACAGGGAAGGGGCCTCCCTGGGTCGCGATCATTGTAGTTGTCGTCACTCACGGACCTTTGTGCCGTTGTCGCGTTCTCAGAAGGCTAACAGCGACAGGGATGTTTTCTTCACGTCTCAAAAGTGCCACCAGTCAAAAGGGGCTGCCCGGGGGACCACAACCCTACAACCCATGCTCCACTCTGCACACATGTGAGCACTTGCTGCGGTCGACCAACAATTTACCTCTGATAAGGCTGAAGCAGTTTATACCTGATGCTATAGCTCTACTTAGGCTCTATCGTAAGCTGGCACTATCACAGCAGGGGAGACCCGCCAGCAGCACAGGGACCACAGGGAGGAAGAGAACCGCCAGCACCACAGCACCACAAAGAACCACATTGTGGGTCCCGTAGTTTTGGGCCTACTTGTTCCCTGTTCGGAGGCAGGCTACCTTGCCTTTGACAGCGCGAAGCCCAATCTCTCGAGCGCCCAGGCTGCACAATGGGGTCACTAGGGTTTAGAATAGGGGACTATAGGGAATGATGGACATGGGTTGCTATTAGGGAATGTCTAAGGGACTATACTGGGATTAGAGTGTCCAAGGTTTTCCTACCCATGTGTGCTACGGGTATAGCGGGGTTTTGACGGAGTTGAATTTGCTGTATCTTGATCAGGCGTGATGACGAAAAGGCAAGTTGGTGCAGAGCTACTACCCCGCATCCCATACATCCATGTGGGTAAGTCTCAACATCATGGCCCCCTTGTGTTTTTGTTTATCCTACAACACCTAGTACTTGGGGGTACTAAAATGGGACCCTAAGTTTGGAACTGCCCGTGTCTTCCAGAACGTTCAAACTAGCTCTCGTTGTGACCACAAGGTCTAACTAGGTGCCTGCATTTTTCTGATTCTTACCTGCATGTACTAGCTTTTCTTTCTTTCCTCAACCCACACGCTCTTTTAGTTGCAAACGTCAATCCAGGCCACGGTTCTCTCAAGAAGCTGTCCCCTGCACAGGAACCACTGGAAACTAGAGATTCTCTTTCAGAGACCGCTTTGTCATGACAAAGAGAAGTGAGAGCGAGAACCCTACACACGAAAGAAGGGACTTACGAGTCGAGCTGAAACTGTGCAAGTCCGACCCACGGTTTCTCTACGGCAATTGGATTTCGTACCTGGAGCAAGAAAGAGCCGAATGTCCTCCAGTGCACTCCCCCCCCCTCCAACCGTACCTGAGGCAAGTGCGGAAAGTGTGGAAAGAGGGGAGTTTTCAAAAACAGAGAGTTCCTTGCTTGGAGATGTTGCGCGTGTCGTTGAAGCACCCTATTCTCGCACATTTCCATGCATGGATACACCTTGCATGAATCTGTTGAGTTGCAACGCCTTCTTCCGTGAAAAGGCATTCCCTTCGTTTTTCGAGCAGGCTCAGTCGAGATGTTTGACTATCAGCAAGGCATGCGCGAAAACTGTAGCTGTAGCATTTGCCGCGTACCCATGGCTGACAAGAGCTGTCGAAAACTGTAAGGGAAAAAGCTGAGGCTTATCTGCAACACCGAGAGTATACAATCGCTCATGGGTGTAGGCCTCCCTGCGCGTGGTCTGCTACTGAGCGGTCTTTGCTTCTTCGGTGGCCAGCGACCGCGACCCAGCCAGGTATCAGTGAGTCTGCTAGTTGCTTGCACATGTAGGCTTCTTAAGATAGGGGTGCGCGTAGAGACCTCAGGTATACTTAGGCATTGTCAGGGCTACATGCAGGTTCTCATTTGCGATTATCCAGGGACTGTCTTGACAGACTGCTAAATGAAGTGCTTAGTACAGTATTCATAGTCGACGCCACAGGTAGCATGACCGCGAGAATGGTTGCGAGCTATCGCGACCTTGTGAAGTACAGCACTGACCCTACTTTCATCAGTTAAAGTATTAGAACTGTCATGACTATCAGTACTCTCACGCGTCTCATTTGGTCAGCGAGGAATGAAGCAAGGTATTCTTATAGTAGTCCCTATATAACCCATTGTAGTAGTTGCGATTTTCTTTTCCATTCCTTCATTCCCAGCTAACCAAACAAAACCCTAAACCCTGAATAGTGGCCTCCATTTTCTTTTCCATTTTCCCTATAATATAATATAACCTCAGATTTTGGCATGCATGCCAGGTTGCAAAAAGAACCATGCTCTCGGTTACTGCCTCCGCGGGCTCCATGGCCGTCACCGGCGGGCTATGTCGTCGAGCGGAGAGACGAGGGCATGTTGCAAATTCTGCATCCAGCATATACATACATATATATATATACATATATACATGGGCTACTTTCAATAGTAGTCTTATTCAGGGACCATTAAGGGTGGACATAGGGGTCCCTCTTGTAGTTTGGTGAGAATCTGTGGGTTGCAAGCTTCTGGCTTCGAACTGAAGCAGCTATTGCACCACTGGCAGGATCTTCGGCACAGAGGTTTCTTCTTGGGCAATCATAAGTTGTTCATGGTAAAGGTACACGGAAATGGGGGTCTGCCAATAGAGGGCCCCAATTTGGACCCCAAACTAGTGTAATCCTTACAATCGGTATCACCAAGCAGGCCCGCAAATTTCAGAAAAGCCGCATGTTCGATGTCATGGCGGCACCTCGCTTGCTTGGATGCTTTCCAGCGACAGCTTCAACATTCCTGAGTGTTAAGGACGTCATCAGCAGTGTACAGTAGAACGGTGGATATGGAAGAAGTTAAATCTTGGTCTGGCGCGTTTTGGGTGCGTGTGGCTCGAGTCCTGAGCAGGCACAACTTCAAGGCAGCACCATTGACACAACACCACACGTGTCCAGCATTCCTAAGTGGTTAATTACACTGAAGCAGATGCTAGCATGTAATTGTAATGGTCATTCTACTTCTACTAGCGCCAATAGTACAGCTGATATTAGCTATAATTTCATCAGGAGCTTGCAACGCTTCCCAAATCCTACCCCTAAAAACCCCTAAGCCCAGACCCTACCAATCCTAAACAAAAAATCTCAAAAACCCTTCAAGCCTTGAACCCGAAAACCCTACACAAAACCCTAGGTTCTAAACCCTACACCTTAAACGCTACAGCCTGTACCCTAAACCCTAAATCCCTGAACCCTAGATCCTCAAACGCTAAATCCTAAACTCTCGGCTTCCTCAGACGCAATCCCATGGCTCGGGCCATGTCTGAGATTGCAAGGCGACAGGGGTGGTTTCCGCCGCTTGTCTGCAGGGTTTGGGCGGGGATGCTTAGGGTTTAGGATTTGGGATTTAGGGTTTGGGGTTTAGGATTTAGGGTTTAGGGTTTAGGATTGAAGGCTTAGGATTTAAGGTTTAGGATTCGCGGTTTGGGATTTAGGACTTTAGAGCGATCAGGATTCAGGGTGTCAGGGTGTTCGGTTTTTGTGATAGGGGTTTCAGGGTTCAGGATTTTAGGGTTTGGGTTTTAGGGTTTGGGGCTTTAGGGTTTAGGGTTTAGGATTCAACGCATAGGGCATATGGTGTGGGGGATGTTGGGAGGCTTTTTATTGGATGATTTACGATTCTTGTTTTGTGTGAACATGGTTTGAGGCATTTTCGAGTTTATTGAAAGTTCCGCCACAGCAGTGAAGGTGGTGTCGCACAGGCATTGCATGGTCACGCATCGAGTATGTGGTGCGTTTACGGCCGTGCTCTTGCTGGGACAAATTTGTGCTGGGCCAGTCGGGCACA